CCCCCCGGTACTGGAGATCAAACTCAGGACCTCGTTTGCCAGGCAGGCCGGCACCACTGAGCTAAATCCCTGACCCTGGGATTTTCTTTTTGAGAGGACCTGTTTTACTAAACTTGATTCCCGGGAATTCTAAAGGATTTGGGTTTAGTGGCATTGCTTCTGTGGGCACAAGGGGGTGCTGTGGAGCTGAAATCCCTCTGAGTTCCTTCACGTCTTTGGGTGTCCTTCTCCCTGTAGCGTTCTGGGTGCCACCCCTAAGACAAAGGGCAGAGCAGGCCCCTGTTTACAGCCTCAGAGGTGGGTCCCCCCATCTATGTAGTGGGTGGAGGCAGGCAGGATTTCTGCTTGGTTCCCCTTTTCAGCCTTTGGAGTCGCCCTGCTGTTGAGCTGCCCTTCAGTTACCTGGCTTTGTGTGGGAGTCTCGGGCTCAGTAGCCTGCTCTAGGCACAGAGGCTGGAGGCCTGCCTGCCTTCGCCCAGTGAAGGGTCACGAGCCCTAAGCCTCAAGCTCCAATCCTGATGTTGGCCCCAGGCAGCTCTGAGCCGCGTTCCTTCTGCTCTTGCTGACTAGACTTCAGGCATTTGGCGTCGAGAGTTCCTTTACTTTCCTTAGAGGTCAGTGGTGGTTTTAGAGTGTATTTGCGACCTCTGTGATCTAACATTTGAGCCAAGTATTTTGTTGTCGCAGGATATTTCAGAAATAGCTATCTTGGAAGGAGAAGTCTGATCACAATTTCGGCAGTTTTATCACCCCTGAATTTGGAGGAGAAAGGTGAGGGCAGATTTCCTGAAGCTCTACAGCCACGCTTATTGAAGTCTTTGTGTCCTTAGAGGATTTATACTTGAGGCCTCTCCTGGTTCTCTTGGTTTTGCTGTTCTTTCAGTCTTCTTTCCTCTGTACCTTGCTGACAGTGGTTAAATATTTCCCAGAAGGTTCGCTGTAGCCTTTCTCCCCAGGCCATGAGCCCTCTGCCCACACGCAGCCCTCAGTGCTCTGTGCGTGGCTCCTGAGTGGAAGTACTGCTTAGCCATGCCAGTCCACTCCTGGATGTTGTAGTGTGGGCTAATGACCCTTTACACAGAAAGTGACAGCACACCAAGTACTGCCATTGGAAAGGACATTTGTAGCAAACTCTTCAGAAAGTAGTACGTAAGCAACCTCAAAACAAACAAAGGGCTGCTCCTGAGGATCTGTCCAGTAGAAGTGCCTAGGTCCCACTGTGAGCATGTGTAGGTGTTGTTCACAAGACGGAAACCAGCAGTGTGCCCTTCATTGCAGGACGAGGCTGCCTTACTGGAGAGTGTATACCGCCATCAAAAGTCACGCTTGCGGGCCGGGGATTTGGCTCAGTGGTTCCGTCTCCAGCCTCACAAGTGCAAGGTCCCGAGTTCGATCACCGGTACCAAAAAAAAAATTGACGCTTCCACACGGAAAGTTGAACCTGAGTGTTTGTGAGGGGTGTTGGATGAAAGACACGCCTTCTGTAAAGCAGTGCCCTATGTCTGTGCATATTTGTGTGCACTGGATAGGAAGTGATACCCCCTTTTGTGGTACTGGGGCTGAACCCAGCGCCTCACACTGAACTGCCACACCCCCCAACCTCCCATTTTTTTGAAACAGGGTCTTGCTGAATCACTAATTTGCCCAGGCTTGAATTTGCTATCTTCCTGCCTTGCCTCCCAGAGTGCTGGGATTACAGGTGTGCGGCATGATGCGCAGCTACTGTGATGCCCTTTTGTAAAGCAATGAACCCTGTCCATTCTGGGTCTGCATACTTGTGTGACTTGGGTAGGAATGATGCCTTGTTTGGAGCAGTTATCTGTGTGTACATTTGTGTGCACATGCATACACATGGGGCAGAAAGTGATGCCCTTTTGCACAGCAGCGATCCCACACCTCCCCCGTCTCTGTCTGTGAGTATGTGTGTCCAAGCTGGGTTGATCAGAGTAGGTGGGGCGCTGAACTGAGGGCCAGGAGCCAAAGGGGGGTAGAGGGGCCACGTAAATAAACAAGAAACCCAAAGTGAGCACAGGGGTGATTGGGTTCATATCTGCAGTCAGACAGGCACATGGCCGTATTCTACAGCTTTTAAATAAAATATAGGAGAATTAAATAAGAGAAGCTGCTAATCTTTATAGTGCCAAGAAACAGGATTCTGGTCTCTCAGAATTGGAAACCTTGTTGTTTAAACCTTCAGGATGGTAGCATTTACCTTTTGCAGATGTCAGAGTTGACATGGCCAGGTTGATCTGTGCAGCTTAGGCGGGAGATAGGATGGCATTGACTTTTTGTCCCTTGAACAGGCATGGCGATTTGTTGTTCCTGTTTCCCTCAAACCTTGCTGGACCTTCTTCTGAAATGGAAACGTCAACCTCAGTAGGGGTAAAGGCCTTTGGCACTCCCAATGTGGTGGAGGATGAGATTGATCAGTACCTCAGCAAGCAGGATGGGAAGATCTACAGAAGCCGGGACCCGCAACTGTAAGCTCTGGGGGGTCTGGGTTGAGCCTGTGGTGGTTGCAGTGGGTCAGGTTAGAAGGGAAGTATTGAGTTGATAACATGTCCCTTGTAATGGGCATCTGATGAAGATGTGGGAATTGTGAGTTTTACCATCTATTTTTAGATTAAATTTCGCCTTATGTTATTTTGTTAGCTTTTTATCAGTTGGGACCTCAGAGTGTTCCACATCAAATGTTTTGAAGTGTTTGGCTATTAAGGTATTTGGAAGGTGTCCAGGGGCCATTGGGGGCTTAAACTAAGCCTCTACCCCTACCCTGATGGCCCTGAGATAGTGGACCCTGGGGGCAGAACCAGGAGCTTGAAGGGACCGAGGGCAGGGAGTCTGCTGGTGCAGAGGCTCCTGGCCTCTCAGCAGCGGATGGCTTTGGTGTTGTGTAGTGGGCGCGGCTGCAGCCTCTAGCGAGCGTCTCACCTGTGGAAGATACTGCTCCTTTGAGTAGTCACTCTCTGTCGGAGTTAGCTCAAATCCTGATGCATGTGTACATCTTTTTATTTTATAATTTTTTTATGTTTGCACTTTTAAAATTTTACTGTACAGTACATATTTGCAGTAAATGCAGCTTATAGTCATCTCGGGGAGTGGGTACATGTACATACTACAGCTTTTTTTTTTTTCCCTACTATTTAGAATTTGAGTACTTTTTAAAGACACCAATTAGAAAGCCCAATGTGGTGGCGCACACCTGTAGTCCCAGCACTCAGAGGCTGAGGCAGGAGGATCACTGCGAGTTTGAGGCTAGCCTGAACTACAAAGTGAGACCCTGTCTCAAAAAATAAAATAAAGACACCAATTAGAAACATCTGAGTTTACCCTCAGTGATGTGAAATTGTCTGAGCAAAGGCTATTTGTCTCTGCAGTAGAGTCTTTTTAAAGGCATTGCTCTGTGCACGTGACGGGTGCTGACTTGAGGTAGTGGGATTCCAAATGCTGCATTAGCAACTTTGATGTCTTAGAGGAAAGAGCCACAAATGTTGCTCAGCTGCACGCGGTGTGGAGCCACTTGGTGCTTGTGGCTGTACTGGCACGCCTCTTCACTCGTGTTTCCTTCTGGTGACCCTGTGTCTGCTCCCTCACAAAGTCTGGCCTCATGGCTTCAGTAGCAGTCTTCTAGTGCATGTGTGTACATGTCTCTGTTAACTCTGACCTGGTAGCCGTAGGAGACAGTGGCTGTCTGCTCTGAGGTGTGAAACTCCTGTTCTTAGAGAATTCTGACCCCATGTAGAATGAGATATGACAGAGCCCTGAGGGACGTAGCTTGACTTTCCCAGCAGCCTCACTACCACCTCAGAAACTGAGCACATCTCTCCATATTATCATGCAGGTTAAGCTTCCTGAACTGAAAATGTTGGGAACCCATGCAAGTATCTTTTATCCATTTTCCTAAAATGGACGTGAAGTGGTGCTTCCTTCAGCAGCACATATACTAAAAAAATTTGAAAAAATTTGAAACAAAATGTGCATGAAATGGGTATTTTTCACACTCAGGTTATTCATGCACCACTCTTTCTTTTTTTTAAATTTAATTTAATTTTTTAATTTTTGTATTTTTTGGTATTGGGGATCGAACTCGGGACCTTGCACTTGCAAAGCAGGTGGTGGAACCACTGGGCTAAATCCCCGGCCCTTCATGCACCACTCTTAGGGGTTTTGCCGTATCCATATACTACCAGGTGTCTTATTTAATTAACATTTTTATTATTTAAATGAACTTTAAATCTCATTTGTCTGGGTTTTTTCCCCTTGATGCTGGGGATTAAACTCAGAGCCTTGCACATGGTATAAGCATTACTTTTACTTTCAGTGTCATTTTAGGAGGTTAATATTCGTGAAATCACAAGTTGATATGCTGGTCAGTTTTTTTCTTTTAAGTACTAAACTATTAAAAAGATTTACCCATGTGCCATCTAAAATCATTTCTCACGGGCAGGGAAGCACTTTCTAAAGTATGAAGTACATTTTAAAGATCAAAAATGTGGGGCTGGGGATTTAGCCCAGTGTTTCCATCGCCTGCCTTGCAAGCGCAAGGACCCGGTTTGATCCCCGTACAAAAAAAAAAAATCAAAAATGTGACCAGGCATGGTGGTACACACGGAGGCGGAGGCAAGAGGATCACTGTGAGTTCAAGGCCAGCCTGGGCTACATAGTGAATTCAAGGCCAGTGTGAACTACACAGCAAGACCCTGTCTCAAAAAACCAAAAATAAATAAATATTAAAAATGTTGAGGGCTGGGGATTTAGCTCAGTGGTTCTGCCGCCTACCTTGCAAGGGCAAGGACCCAAGTTCGATCCCCCGTACCAACAAACAAACAAACAAACAAAAAAATGTTGGGTGGCAGCAACAGAAAAATAATCTACGTATTGCTCTGCCTTTCTTTGCCTGTATTCTCAGATGCCGCCATGGCCCGTTGGGAAAGTGTGTGCACTGTGTGCCGCTGGAGGTGAGTCCTCGGTTGACCAGCAGGGTTGGCCACTGATAACAGAGCTGCCCAAGGACTTTCTGAGTCCCTGCACATGAATGTCATGGTTAAAAAAACCTACCTATTTGTTTCCCTGGGGCTCATAGTCCCACTAGTGTAAGTGGCATAAAGAGGCTGAGCCTTTATTTATGGGAGTGACCTTCTGGGTGGATTATGAATGACTGAAGCGCTTGTGTTGCTGTGATGAAAGGAGAGCATGTACAGTGGGCTCCCTGGACAATCCTTTAAAATTTTGACACAGAGTAGGGCCTATTGGCTGGTACTCGTCATTGTTTTGATTTACTGTGCCCTGAATCCTGTCTGCTCTGCTGCTTTGTCCTGGAGAGATTGAAGTTGCTGTGATAATGCTGACTGGTAACATGGGGACAGTGAGCTCACGGCAGCAAGGCCAACCTGATTTTCTTCTCCATGCAGCCCCTCTCGCCTCACTTCTGCTCTTTTTTTTTGGTGGTCCTGGGGATCAAACCCAGAGCCCCACTTGTGCTAGGCAAAGAGCTTTGTCTCCAGCCACTTTGTGCCATGACATTCTGCAAAAATTTCCTGGAACTTAATTTGCTTTCTGAGTGTTCAGTGTTCAGTAGAGGTTCATTTAATCTTGAAAAGATAACTGAGAAGCAGAGAAGAACCCGATTCTGATTTAGAACTAGGGGAGCTAGGTTAGGACCTGGATTCCATCTTGTGTGCTGCCCCTGCTCCTGACCTTGGAGGCTGCACTGCCTGGGGCGTTCCCCTGCACAGTGGGGTCCCTGTGCCTTGCTCACCCCGCAGACACAGGACTGCTTGCTCTCTGTGTGTTTTGGCAGCCATTCGATGAGGACTACCTGAACCACCTGGAGCCTCCTGTGAAGCACATGTCCTTCCATGCCTACATCCGGAAGCTGACCGGAGGGGCTGACAAGTAAGCAGCTCCAAGTGGCCTCTGCATATGGGAACTTTTTTTTCTGTCTGTGGCACTTGTTGCTTACAGCTAGACACAAAGCAATGAAACTTTGCTGAGTTAGAAATGGGGTGGGGGATCCGTGGGAGTCAGCCTGGTTGCATGTCCACAGTGCCCAGAGCTGGGGCAGATGCCCAGGTAGATCTTGCCACTGCCCTTGCCATGTGCTCAGCACCCTTCATATTAGCCTGTTGGATCTGTGGGTCTGAGCTCTTCCTCTGGTTTGCAGAAAGACCACTGCCCTATGATTTTCCCAGCTCAGCCATTTCAGCCCTCGGGAGCCCTTCAGTTTTGTTTTCACAGAAGTACTAGAGTGAAGCCCACGGAGAGGCCTGCACTTCAGCTACTACCATGGTTGTGTCCCACAGGCAAGCAGGCAGCCTTCTCTCAGCTTCTGAGGATAGATGGTAGCAGTGGCCAGAAAGGGCTAAATGAGAGCATTTTGATTTCTTTAACCCACGTCAGGTGCTCGTCTCTGCACACATTCTGTGTACACCTTACCAGAGTGACAGACCTCAGCTGTAGTTCTGTAAATCCTGTTAGTATGACAAGGGGAAACCGGCTGAGCCCAAGTCAGCAACATTTTGTGAAGAATATCATATTCTCCTGATTGTAGCTTTTCTTTGACAACTTGCTGACATTCTAAAATAAATTTTCAAAAATGTTAGACCTGCCAAAAAACCCTACCAGAAGCCTAGTCATTCTTGTCAGTGGGAAAAGCTGTAGGTTGCTCTGGACCAGGGAGTGAGGGGGTTGTAGTGCAGTGAAAGGAGCCTGGTCAGCCTTTGTCAGTCTAGTCAAGGAATAGAGGCTGTCCTGGGGAGTGTGCACGCCTGACAGTAGTGCCATTGCCTCTTAGGTGCACAGAGACCAGTGTGCCTTTGGCTTGTGAAAATAGAATGATCAATGTGTAAGGCCATGTGTGTACCTATTAGCTCAGGTTGGCCGTTCTGCAGTGTGTATGTATTACAGAACATTGAGAACTGCTGGATGCTGTGGCATACACCTACCTGTAATCCTAGCTCCTTGGGAAACTGAGGCAGGAGGATCACAAGTTCAAGGCCAGCCTGGGCAATTTATTGAGATCTTGTCTTCAGATAAAAAGGGCTGAAAGTGTAGCTCAGTGGTAGAGTGCTTATCTAGCATGTTTGTGGCCTCAGGTTCAATCCCTAGTATTGCAAACAAAAAATAAAATATCACTGGGGATTTAGCTCAGTGGTTTCACCGTCTGCTGCGCAAGCGCAAGGACCTGAGTTCGATCCCAGGTACCAAAAAAAAAAAAAATATCATGAGCACCAAAAATATGTTCAGTTTTTATTTTCAAAATGAAGACTACACTGTGCACCTTAAATCCATATAATTATTTGTCCTATACCTATACCTCAATGAGGCTGAGGGGAAAAAAGGAAAAAGAGAAATAAAGTGGAATTATTAGACCATTTTGAGAATGAGAAAACTGATATCACATGTACAAATTCACCCCAAGTTCAGAGCAGGGCCCAAGACTTTCTTCCTTACAAGCTTCTAACGAGTTTTGTATTCTTTGTGTGTGTTTTTTTGGCTTGATTGGTTGGTTGGTTTTTTAGCTGAGAGCAGAATGAAGATAATCACTGTTATGTATCCTAAACAGATTTTTCTGAAGAATGAAATTTTTTTTTACTAATGTATAAGTACTGGGCTGCTAATGTCATAGTTGTTAATGAATTGCCAAAACCTCCTCTGAGTGGCACAGGGCAGTCAATAGGTATTGAGCAATGTTCTTGAAAACCTCACGGATGTACGGCACAGCTGAAAGTGGAGACCGAGTTCCTGTGGGGAGCAAGCTGCATGTCCACACTGGACAGAGGCTGGCCTGTAGAGTCCTGCCACAGTGGGTTTAGCATGGTTCCCCCACGCAGGGACCTTGACACCTGCCCGGGGCACGTGTGTGTGAGCTGCTTCACACGCTTCATGTCCTCCCAGCCTTCTCACTGTCCCATGTGTTGTGCTCACTTGCTTCTCTTCTCCCTCAGGGGGAAGTTCGTTGCCTTGGAGAACATCAGCTGCAAAATTAAGTCAGGATGTGAGGGACACCTCCCATGGCCTAACGGCATCTGCACCAAGTGCCAGCCCAGTGCCATCACGCTGAATAGACAGGTGAGACAGCTGGCTTTGGCATTGCTGAGAGGTGGGTGTTTCCTTGGAGAGGACCTGCCTCCAGCAGAGTGGTATGTGTGCAGAGTCCGAGATAAATTCTGATCCATCAGTTGGCGCTGAAGATGTAGTTTGTAAAGTTTTTAGCTCTTGCTGGTATGTTGCAGGAACTCTGGTTCCTTTTTTTGTCTGTTTGTGTGGAGGCAGAATTTTCTTGATGATTTGTTTAAATGCTCAAGGTTGTGATTTTTGCTTTTTTTTTTTTTTGGTACCAGGGATCAAACTTGGGACCTTGTGCTTACAAGGCAGGCGCTGGAACCACTGATCTAAATCCCTGGCCCTTTTTGCTCTCTTTTTGTTGGCAGTACTGGGTATTGAACCCAGGGCCTTTGCACTGAGCTACAGCACCAGTCACAAAAATAAATAAACTTGTTTCTGGAGGCCGATGATGGAGCCTTTTCTGAGCCTCTTGCTGTGGGGGGAGGATGTCAGTCCTCACTGGTGCTTCTCAGAGAGCAGTGCACCCCAGCATTCTGCTGCCACCTGGCCACATCCAGCTCCTTAGAGTGCACCATGGCCTTCTAGACGCAGGGAAACGTATCCATTCCTCCCTGCTCCTATTCATTTGCTCTTTCCTGAAAACTGTGTTTTGCTCTAGAGATTGTGAAAACTATTTTTTATTCCCTAAAGAACTAGATAAAAGAAACTTTGTAATGGTTTGTTTTAGAAAAATGAATCAGTGTTTTCAGTGGAATCTTTTTATGCAGCCCACTGTTGTTAACTCTACAGAAATACAGACACGTGGACAACATCATGTTTGAGAATCACACTGTTGCTGACCGCTTCCTCGACTTCTGGAGAAAGACCGGGAACCAGCATTTTGGGTACTTGTACGGACGGTACACAGAGCACAAAGACATTCCCCTTGGCATCAGGGCCGAGGTGGCAGCAATTTACGAACCTCCTCAGGTACATCTGTGGAGGATTTGCATTTATGGAAAGCTATGTTCTCTTGTTTTGAAGACTGTGTGGGATGCACTTTTCATATTGCATCTTCTCCTGTTTGCGTCATCATTTGTGTACCTTCTCTTTCTACACACATGAACACCCACACATACACACCCACATGTACTCATGCAGTATTAGTTTTCTGAATTACTGGAGAGTAAGATCCTAGCCCCAGTATCTCAGTCCTAAGAGTACAGATACTCTCTGACATGCTAGCACATTTACTGACCTGAAGAGTTGGAACGTGCTCTGACTCAGCACCTGCAGCTGCTGTCCGAGTTCTGGGTCTGCACTTGGGCCCAGTACTGTGGAGCAGTGGCTTCAGGTCTACTCCATAGTTCTGTGTTTCCCATTGTGTGAGAGGCAGCTGTTCTAGAGCCATAGGACTCTTAGGATGTGAGTACCACAAATTGGCTCATATTCTTTGACTTGAGCCATATACCATCCAATCTCAGAATAACAGAAATAGCTAAAACTACCACCAAAATAGGGCTGTAAACAATAAAAGGTTTTTTGGTGGTTTTTTTTGTTGTTGTTAGTACCGGGGATCAAACTTGGGTCCTTGCGCTTGCAAGGCAGGCAGTGGAACCACTGAGCTAAATCCCTGGCCCCCACGGTAAAAGGTTTTAATGAGGCAAGGATATATCCTTCTAGGGGTCACAGTTACTGCTTTAAAGCTACTGAAAGGTCCAGTGTGGTGGCACATGCCTATAATCCCAGCATTGGGGAGGTTGAGGCAGGAGGATCACTTCGAGTTTGAGGCCAGCCTGGACTACATAGTGAGACCCTGTCTCACTAAGAAAAAAGAAAAAGGCTAGGAAAGATCCTCTGTGTGATAATGCCACCAGTCAGTGACACATTTTATTTTTAATTTGTAAAAATTAGTGTCTGTAAGCTTATATAAATTTTAACCTGCTTTATAATTACATAAAGTACTTGTATGGTGTGTTTCATTATATAAATTTTGTTATAAAAACAGTAGTCTACTGGGTATAGTAGAGCACACCTATAATCCCAGCACTCTTAGAGACTGAGCCAGGAGAGTCACAAGTTTGAGTCCAGACTGGACAATTTAGCAAGATTCTGTCTCAAAATAAAAACAGGGCTCAGGCCGGGGATTTAGCTCAGTGGTTCCGCCACCTGCCCTGCAAGCACAAGGACCCGAGTTCGATCCCCAGTACCAAAAAAAAAAAA